CTAGAAGCAAATGAATCAAATTTGTAGAAAATCGATACAGATCTGATTTGGGGATTTAAGTCCCTCACATAGGTATTATGCAAGATAACTTATTTAGCTACCTTAATCAAATTTTGTCGAGACCGAATCAGATTAGGATATAGCTCCCATATTTATATATTTATCCGACATGAGGGTTATTGTGCTCCAAATGGCTAATGTCAACCTAAATGGAATTAATTTTGGCAATTCCGATTGAATTCATCCTAGAAACAAGTACTTCAAATTTGGTGAAATCGGTTCAGATATAGCTGTAGCTCATATATAGTTTCAGCCGATTTGGTGCTAAAGTCCCTCACATGCTTTATATGCACTCCACAAAAATGATATTTAATTCCTTGTATCAGAAAACCTTGCTCGAAAATATCTCTGTCAAATTTCATCGAAATTGGTTCAGATTTTTATATACCTTCGATAAACATCTTCATGCGATTTTACGGTTATTTTCCGCCATATATGTAATATAAGTCCAAATTGGATAGATTTTTTCATATTTAACCGAATTTTGCCATTTGGTGACTCTTGGTTCGGTATACCTATTGGTTTAATAAATATTTAATATAATCCTAATCGAAGCCATATCATGCTCTATACAACAATACAGTACGTTTACATATAGAGGATTTGGATTAAACTTAGTATACCCATATACTTCAAATAAATCCTTTTAAATTAGGTTAACCCTACAAAAAACTCGAACACGAACATGGCATTATTTAGTTCAGAGGTTGTATTATCTACTTCACATAAATTCCCAATATAAACTTGCAATTTGTATTAGGTGAAATGTGTGATTTTTCCTGCAAAACCAGTGGTGCTGCGTATCATTAGTACTGTGATTTCGATCGTGATTGCAAATAAATCAAGATAGCTTTTGTTGCCACGGAAACAGAGTCAGATTTTTTATTTGAAATGTGACATAGGCTTGTCAAATAAATGATTTGCGTCAGTTATGGAGAAAAAATGTAAAATTTTTAACTTTTTTTAATACAGTTCAAAAAAAAAAATACTAAAGGGTTTGAAATAATTCAATACATCAAGAAACACACATAAAATGACACTCGTTCATAAATTATAATATACACACATATATATAGTAAAATACATACATGTATGTACTAGTTATCGAAATCTATAAAATTTCCCAAAAAACGTATTACGCATTATTCTGAAAATTTGTTTAATTTTTCACATCTTGTTATGTTTTATTTTTTTTTTGTAAATTCACAATCTCTAGAGCCCCGAGATTGTCGAATTTAATCAAATGTTACAAGTTGTGTTATACTTCTATGCATACATATTTATATCATAAGTAAATCATTAAATTAGTACGTAAATATCTTCACTTTATTTTGTATTAAAAAATAAATCTATAAATTTATACTCATTATTTTTTGAATTTATATAAAATTAAATATTCTAAAAGAAAATAATAATAAAAAGAATTATTAAATAAACAAAGATAAAGCGAAGTTTTCTTGGTATAAAGGGAAAGCGGAGAAGCTGCATCGAGAAAAGTGAGGGATTGTGAAGCTATTTTTTTGAAAAATAGCTATAGAAATAGGTAAAATTAAAACACGTCAAATACAAATAAATTCAGTTTTAATAACCATTGGACATGTCCTGGAACACGTCGTGTATTCGATACACCTTACACATACCACTTTCTCGTCACAAAGGTATTGCCATGGTAAAATGATATCAAGGTAGGGCTATGATACCATATGATTTTAATTTTTTTATTTTCTTGGCTTAATTATTAATTAATATGTCATCTTTATTTGTTTATGTATGTGTTTTCTTTTCAATAACAAAAACATTGTTCAGAAAACATTAAAATTCGGGTGTTTTCAAAATGTTTATTTCAACGTATGCATCGACAAAATCTAGAGTTTTTGTAGCGAAATAATCCTTTAGAGATATATAGTACATGATTTTGAAAATAAGTGTTGACCTTTCATTCAGTTATCGCGGTTTTCAATTATTTATTCAAAATAAATGCAACAAGTTGTTTGATTTTTTATTGTTTTGATACTAATTCTGACATTACAAGCCAAATAGGTAGACCTCTATACTTGCAATTTTTTCAAAGTTGGCCTACCTTCTGTTCATTGTACCATGGGTATTGCTACCATTCATTACACAAGAATTTGTCATAATTTTGGTGCGATTTTTTTTTACATTTTAAAACATATCATGCGTCACAAATCCAGAAAAACACGGCTCTCACCATGAAAGTTTCAGAATGTTTAACTCACACAAAATTGGTGCAATGTGTGTTACTCAAACGCCTTTAATGTACACACAAGAATAGAGGTTCAGTTCTTGTTCTGTGAAAATGAGAAATAAAACAAGTAAAAACGCAGTAAATACCCTTGCAAGAATTAGCAACTTTAAAAAAATGCCTTTGGCGGGGCCGATTATAGGGATGAGATAAAAAACTGCAACAATGTCAAACGTCATAATTTTTACTTTTTTTAATTTTATTGATCGAATGCTCAAAATGCATCAAATTTTAGAATACGTTTAGATTTGCTCGAATTGGTCACCTTTGGCACAAATTACAGCCTTCAAACGGCCAATGAAACCGTCACACGCTGCCCGAATGTTGCTCCGCGGTATTTTGGCCCACTCCCGGCGAAGCGCTTGCTTGAGGTGAACGACACTTTGGTATTTTTATACCCTCCACCTTAGATAGGAGGGTATATTAACTTTGTCATTCCGTTTGTAACATCCTTAAATATTCGTCGTAGACCTCAAAAAGTATATATATTCATAATCAAAATAAAATTCTAAGTCGATTTAACGATGTCCGTTTGTCTGTCTGTCCATTCGTCAAAATTTAACAGAGCAATTTGTATTGTATTTAGGATGGTTGGTATTGAAAATGAGACATATCGGTCCACGTTTTAGTATAGTCCCCATATAACGGTACCAGGGTTGGGCATATTGCACTAAATTTTTAGTGCACTAAGAATTAAAGAATAAGTGGTAGTGCTATTAAAATTTCACTACCACTAAATGGCTAGTGGTAGTGAAAAATTAAATTGCACTACCACTAACCATTTAGTGGTATTTAAAAAAAATTGCACTACCACTAAACTTTAGTGGTAGTGCAATTTTTAATAACACTACCACTAAACTTTAGTGGTAGTGCAATTTTTGATAGCACTACCACTAAATTTTAGTGGTATTAAAAGTAAAATGCACTACCACTAAAATTTAGTGCAGAAGTTAAACAGAAGTTAAATGGTATTAGTCTGATATAAATATTTTGACGTTTTTTGGGAAAATACATCGAATTATATTAAAAATTAGGACGGAAAAACTAGAATATGCTCCTTAAGGTATACAAATACTAATAATATAACAACAAAAATTAAGTGAGATATGTAATTTATGAGAATAAGAGAAATTGGGAGAATGAAAGAAGAATAATTATGTCGGACGATTAAGAGAGATTTATAAATTTAAATTAAATCAAGAGATTAGATTAAAATGTTAATTATTTGTTCTTTACTAAAAGTTAAATCAATGGTGTACCAGTGGATGATGGTGTCGCTGTGCAAAAAGAGATCATTTAAGAGAAAATAAAAATTCTATTTAAAGCAAATATGAATACGGGTACATGAATTGGATTCTGGGTGTTGATGAACTAGTCAGTCGGTCACTTATCACTCTGCTCTTTGAAATACATTCTCATTACCATATTTGATCACAAATATTCATGACATCAATTTAGTCATGGAATCTCATTGAATTTCTCATCTCTCATGTTAGTTTTGTTCTATTTATAGATTCGATTCTCATTATTATCAGTTGTTGTTATTACACTAAAATATTTAACTTAACTGTAAACTTCCAGTTATTTTTTCTCTATTTTAAATTAAAAGTTATTTTTATTTCTTTTCCAAAGTTAGTTTTAAGTTGGCGTCACAAATGTGAACTTGTTTACGAAAACAATACACTAGTAAATATCACCGGTGTTTAATTTATTTAAGTTGTGATAAATTTGAAAAAAACAATTTGCAAAATGAGTGAAGAAAAGTGTTTTGATAGTGACGATTCAATAATGGATCCAACGTTTATTCCTGAAAATAGCACTACCGATGTAATAGACTCTTTCGAGCTTGATTTAGTTGGAGTCAACAAACTTCTTTTTAGTGAAGAATTTTTTAAAATAATTAAAAAGGTAATAAAATATTTCAAGTTTTAATATGTGTACTTAAAAATAAACCTTTTATTAGAGAAACAAAACTACATACGAAAGGGATATGTGTGGAGTAATTGCTATCTGTCAAGTGTGCCAGAAACATGTAAAAGGATCGATTAAAGTAAGTTCTAATTTCATTCTTCACATGCGTAGCAAACACCCAAAAAAATATGCCGAGTTTAAAGCCAAAAAAAATGAAAACAGGCAGAAAACTGGTCGGAAATCGGCACTTTCAGAAGATGTGTTGAACTTCTTGTGTGATACCTGTTCTCCGCTCTCCTTGATAGAAAGTAAGAGCTTTTTAAAATTATTTCCCGGAAAAAAAATGCCTAGCAGGCGATCTATCACCCGACTACTGTCCGACAGTAACCAAAAATATGTCCACAAATTGTCCATTGCTTTGGAGAACGTCAAGTATGTTTGCACTACAACTGATCTTTGGTCTGGAGGGAAGAAGTCATTTTTAGGAATACGTGCCACTGGTTGGATGCTTTCTCTCTAAAAAGAAAGTCTGTTGCGCTGGCCTGTCGAAGATTCAAAGGAACACATACATTTGATAGAGTAACGGACATGATATGCGAAGTAAACGAGCAATATAATTTGCCACTTAGTAAAATTGTTTACACTATAACTGACAACGGCTCGAATTTTGTAAAAGCGTTTAAAGAGTTTGGAGTTACTTTGAGTAAGTACTATTTATGAAAATTAAGAAAACGACTATTAATATTTGCATTATTTAAGACGTTGACGCTAGATATGGAATTGATTCTGATGAAGATTCAGATCAAAGTGAATTTAGTTTCGCAGGGAGCTTAGGACCCATATTTCATATTGTAGAGCCAAGATTGTCAAAGCATTTTAGGTGTGCAACACATACACTGAATCTTCTTGCAACAACGGACTTCACAAAAATTTTAAGTTCGTCGGATGAAAACATTCAAAAACTGCACAAATCATCATTTGAACGGTAAATGTTGACAATTTATATCAGCGAATAATTTTAAACATTATATTACATTCCAGTTGCACTCAGATATGGCACAAATGTCACAGACCGAAATCTGCAGAAATTATAAGTGCAGTTTTATCTTCGCAGCTCATTACTCCGTGTGTTACAAGGTGGAACTCACTGTATGATTCGGTTAAGAAATTACTAGAATACAAACATAAGTTAGGGGAACTCTGCTATCGGCTTGGAGTTCCATCATTTCTGGGCTCTGAGATTGAATATTTAGAAGAGTATTTGAAAGTGCTAAAGCCCATTGCAGAAGGAATCGATTTTTTGCAAGGCGAACAAAATATGTTTTTCGGCTACTTTATACCAACATTGGTGTCCATAAAAATGAAACTTCGTCGGCTGGAAAACGAAAACCTAGCATTTTTAGAAAGAGTCAATATAGAGATGCAAAAAGCTCTTCACAAGAGATTTGAAAAATATTTTTACCTAAAAGAGGATTCATTAGATGCGGTGATTGCGGCGATTGTGATACCAGATGTCAAGCTGAGATTTTTAAAAACCCTCTTAGAGACGGCCAACAACATTACGGAAGATGATATTAAAACACACTTAAACCACTATGGGTTAGAATTTGCCAAACAATTAGAAAAGACTCCCAATGCAACTTCCATTTCCAGCCAAGCTTCATTTCTAGACTTTGGTGATGAACCCATTGGTAATTATCCTAAATTGAGTAAAATTAAAAGAAGCAAATTTTCTATCCATTGCATATGTTCATTTCAGTCGAATGCATTCATGAAACGCCACAATTGGGGAATGTTTTTCGTGAGACTGGTGCGTACCTCTCGGATCACGAAACAAGTTTGGAAATGCTGAATAGTTATCCCATTGTTAAGCAAATTTTTGTTAAATACAATACTGCACTTCCGTCTTCAGCCCCAGTGGAAAGATTGTTCTCTTTTGCTGGGATCATTAATCGATCTAGGAGGCAAAACCTGAGCGACAGCAATTTTGAAATGCTGGTCTTAAGAAAAGCAAATATGACAGATATGAACTAAACAATTTGTATATATATTATAAAAATTTAAATAAAATCGTGAAAACATATGTTTAATTTTACGTAATTCATCAGCATTGTTTTACTTTTTTCAAAAATATTAATTTAGTGCATTTTTTTAATTACACTAAATTTAGTGATAGTGCAATTAAAATTGCACTACCACTAAAGTTTAGTGGTAGTGTTATTAAAAATTGCACTACCACTAAAGTTTAGTGGTAGTGCAATTTTTTTTTTAAGTACCACTAAATGGTTAGTGGTAGTGCAATTTAATTTTTCACTACCACTAACCATTTAGTGGTAGTGAAAAAAACAATTGCACTACCACTAAGTGAATAGTTGTAGTGAAATTGTTAGTGCACTAAAAATCTAGTGCATTATGCCCATCTCTGAACGGTACCTACCAATATTCGTTATTTTGATGATTTTTGCCACACTTTTTTACGGATTTGTCTGATAATTGGTATTTGGAGGTGATAATGGGTCCTAGTTCGTGTGGCGAAGCATTGTTTGTGTAGGTCCACGCTTTGGTATGGCCCCCATAGAACAGTACCTCCCGATATTCGGTATTTTCATGATTTTTACATTTCTTCGCGAATTTGTCTAAAAATTGGTATTTGTGGGTTCTCTCTCCTTTGGCGACACATTGTATGTATAGGTCCACCTTTTTGTATACCAATATTCGGTATTTTGATGATTTTTGGCACATTTTCCCATGAATACGTCTATTGGTATTTGTGGATCATAATGGGTTCTAATGTTTCCTTTACCCTAAGGTGGACGGTATTAAAAGTTCGGCCCGGCCGAACTTAAGCTGGGAATACATAAAGCGCTTATTTGGCTGGCTTAAGTCATCGGCTGGCTTCTTCGGAAATGAACAAAGGAGCCTAGGGCCAAAATCGAACTAGGTCAATCTAAAACTCCTTTGTTCATTTACGAAGAAGCCAGCCGATGACTTAAGCCAGCCAAATATGCGCTTTATGTATTTCCAGCCTTATTGTTCACTTGAAATGAAGCGAGGAACCTCATTTTGTAACCATTCTTGGTGGCGCACGCTGAGTGCGACGGTGCTGAGTCCTGTTGCAATGTCCAAGGTTTAGGGCCAAAATGTTTGCGTGCCCAAGGTTTTAATACACCCTCCAGAATGTTTTCGCGATAATATTCGGCATTTATTCTGATGCCACGGTCGATTAAGGCAAGCGGGGAGCGATCATCTGCTGTTAAAGCGGCCCACACCACCACCATGGCCGGAGAAAACCGAATTCGGTCTTCACAACTTACGGTCAAGCGAATCCACTCTTTAGCTCTTTTGAGTCTATTTTCTTTCTGTTGCGGTGTAAGTTCTTGAACTTTTTGGAATTTCAATGGCTTTACCCCCAGGAATATTGGAATATTGCGATATGTTTTTCGGTCACTGCGACGCGGGTTTCGATCAAGTCGCTACTTTACTTTTAGAACCATTTCTGCTGATACTGCTGTTTTCTTTCGTCCACTTTCTTGACGTCGGGCTACGCCACCAGTATCACTGTAAAAAGCGATGGTACGAGACACAAAAGATTTATACACATTTAAATGCTGGAATTCTCTAACGGTAGCCACTTGGGGTTTTACATTGCTATAGAGTGCATGATATCAGTTCGAGAAGTTTTATGTTAAAGAAATATATATCGGAGCCTCGTTCCACAAAATGGAAACATGCGTTCACTCCATTTGGGCTAATATTAGCCATTATTTGCACAATAAACCTTAAAATGGATTAATGTTATATATGGCAGCTATATCCAATCGTAGCCGTTCTCAATAAAATTTTGCAGAGGTATTTCCGAGCTCTATAATATATCTGGTACCAAATATCATTTTTATGTGGTGCATATTACGAATGTGAGGGACTTAAACACCAGATCGGATTTGGTTTGTTGTACTTGCTTCTAGATTGAATTCGGTGGGATGTGGCAAAATTCAGATCATTTGGACTTATATTGGTCATTTGGTGCACACATACCCGAAATCGGTTTGAAGATATATGGGAGCTAAATCTAATCCGATTATCATCAATTTCATTAGGGTTCGTCCTTGGACCAAACAAATATTGTTTGCAAAATTTCATTTCAGCGTAAGGCTAGTTCTAGAACTCCAACCAAGGAACCAAAAGCTAAAACCCCAAAGTCTATAAACAATGACCGCAACAACAGATTCTCAATTCTCGGCTCGAATAACGAGACTGATGAAATGATACAACCGGTTAGATCCCAAAAACCTCCCCCACTATATCTTCGCGAAGAAACTACAAACAATCTTGTGAACAAACTCTCCCAAATATTGGGTAAACCTAATTTTCACGTGGTATCTCTTAAGAGAGAAAATCTCCAAGAGACGAAAATACAAACCTATACTGAGTCGCATTATAAGGACCTAGTTCGTGCTCTGGATTCTGAGAAGAAGAATTATTACACCTATCATATTAAGAGCTCAAAAGGACTAGTCGTCGTCATTAAAGGCCTTCATAGTTCTACACCCATAGAGGACATAAAAGATGCTCTCGCAGCAGAAGGATTCGAAACAAAGTCTATCATCAACATTTTCAATAAAGATAAAATTCCGCAACCTATGTTTAAAGTAGAACTAACATACGAATCTTCGCAACTAAAGAAAAAGGGACAATTTCATCCAATTTATAGCCTTAGGCTTCTTTGTAATCGCGGTGTGAAAATTGAAGAACCTCAAAAAAGAAAAGGCCAACCTCAATGTACAAACTGCCAAGAGTATGGGCATACCAAAACGTATTGTAAATTGCTATCGGTTTGTGTTACTTGTGGTGACCTCCACAAATCATCGGAATGTCCACATCCCAAAACTGACCCAAGCGTCAAAAAGTGCAGCAATTGCGGTGGAAATCATACTGCAAACTACAGAGGATGTCCTGTATATATCCACTTAACAAAATCTAGCTTAGCCACAAAAAAGCCTACAAGCTACCGGGTACGGGAAAATCCACAATTTAATATCAAAACAGCTGAGTTCCCCGAGCTAAACAAGAGGAATGAAACCACCGCTCCTAATTACAATCTCCCCTCACAGAATATGCAATACTTATATTCTGATACTTTGAGAAATGACTCACCCAACTATAAAAATTCAAATATAGAATCATCTATCGAAAAACTAATCGTCACCATGAATTCTTTTATGACAAGTATGCAAAGCATGATGCAAGATATTGTGAGAAATCAATCTATGATTATGCAAATAGTTTTAAAACAAAAATAGATAAAATTCGAATCTGTTTTTGGAACGCAAACGGCTTAAGCCAACATAAACACGAGGTCGAAAACTTTATTCACTCACTCAACATACACATTTTACTGGTATCTGAAACTCATTTCACTTCTAGAAACTGTTTTAGAATAAACGGTTACAGTACATACGACACTAAACACCCTAGTGGGAGAGCTTGCGGTGGCACCGCGGTGATAATTTCTAATAAAATTCAGCATTACCCCATGCCAGAATATAAGTTTGACCACCTACAAGCTACAACAGTTGCACTATCTTCAACGAATACAGCTATATCTGCAATATATTGTCCTCCGAGACATAGTATAAGCAAAGATGAATTCGCACACTTTTTCTCATCTCTTGGTAGTAGATTCATTGCAGCTGGAGATTATAATGCCAAACACACCTTCTGGGGATCTAGACTTATTACACCCAGAGGTAGACAGCTTTTAAACTCCATTTCGTCCGCTAAACTGGACGTGTTATCTGCTGGCCAGCCTACTTACTGGCCTTCAGACCTGCAAAAACGTCCTGACTTAATTGACTTTGCGGTAACAAAGAATATTAAGAGGGAACAAATGTCCGTGGTACCCTCGTTTGACTTGTCGTCAGATCATTCCCCAACTATAATAACATTAAATGATGTTCAACTCGCAACTTCCCCGGATTATCTACCAAATAAATATACAAACTGGATGAAGTACAAAAAATATGTCAGTACACATGTGAATTCTAACACTCCTCTAAAGTCCGGAGAAGAAATTGACAATGCAGTTAAAATATTTACTTCGATAGTCAACACCGCTGTCAATGTTGCCACTCCCACTAAATTTTCAAAACTAGAAAATAATTCCTATAATCCATCGACCATTCGAAAACTCGTGTCTGATAAAAGGAAGGCCAGAAGAGAATGGCAGAAGCACCGATCACCTAGGTTTCGGGAAAAACTAAAAGAATGTGAAAAACTCTTACAACAAGCACTCAGATTAAATGAAGAGCGAAACCTAAAAATATTCCTAAATAACCTGGATCCCACAGAGAGAACTGACTACAGCTTATGGAAAGCCACAAAAAACTTGAGAAGACCTATCGCCCACGAATCTCCAATTCGCCTAGAAAATGGGACTTGGGCAAGATCTACAGAAGAAAAAGTAAACGCATTTGCCGAACATCGTGAATCTGTATTTACCCCAATTCCCGGACCATCGACAGTTGTTCAACCTTTAATTGACGACATTGTTCCGAATCCAATACGATTTTCTCTAAAAGAAATCGAAAGTTCTATAGCCTCGATAAAACTAAAAAAATCCCCGGGTAAAGATAGAATTACTCCAAACATGCTCAAGAAATTACCAACACCGGCCGTTAAATTATTGTTATTTATATTTAACAGCATTCTTCGAGTAGGGTACTTCCCGTCTGTATGGAAAGAATCTGAAATAGTAATGATTCCGAAACCTGGAAAAGATCCAACGCAGGTAAAATCGTATAGACCCATCAGTCTTCTATCTATACTCTCAAAGCTGTTCGAAACAACTTTACTAAGGAAGTTAACTCCCCCTATTACAAATAGCAGTATTATCCCCGACCACCAATTCGGCTTCCGTAAGAACCACAGTACTATTGAGCAAGTGCACCGCATAGTCACAAACATTAGAATGGCATTCGAAAGGAAGGAGTACTGCTCGGCGCTATTTATAGACATTTTCCAAGCGTTTGACAGAGTCTGGCATCTTGGAATTCTATACAAAATTTGTGAAACTCTACCTAAAAACACTCATAAACTTTTTTGTAGTTATTTGTCAAATCGTACGTTTGTTGTTCAATCGAAAGACATACTTTCAAATTCGAGAAAAATATTGGCTGGCGTCCCACAGGGTAGTATCTTAGGACCAATTCTGTACGTGTTATTTACTGCCGATATGCCCACAACCAATGAAACTCTAACCTCAACGTTTGCTGATGATACTGCTTTCATTAGCATACACAAGGATCCTCTGATTGCGTCGGAAAAACTACAATACCATGTATATCTTCTCGAAAATTGACTGACAAAATGGAGAATATCGGTAAATGCTAGCAAGTGCATACATGTTACTTTTGCTCTAAGA